AGAGGTACGGCCAGGGATTGATCTATAACGCTCTCACGACGTTAGTTTGCTTGTCGCCGTTCTGCCCCTACGGGAGGCTCGCTCCGCAGCACAGCCGGGCCCAAGTTTGCGAGAAACTCCCGTATTGCTCTTCGCCCTCCTCGGCCTCCGGAAGAATTCTGTGAAAGTCTAGGTTCTATTTAAGCCCGCCTCAGCGCTGAACTTCGGCCCCGCTGCATCTTATGGGCTCCGGCTCGCTTTCGGGACCGGCACACTTCCGAGTCATGCTCATTCCTCCGGGTTTTCAGAGACGGAATTCAGGACAGGACATTTACCAGGATGTCCACTGCGATTGTAGCAAGAGCCAGTGGCTTACTGCAGACACGTTTCACATTGTGCCGTCTTGCGATCGAAAAAAAACTTCCCCCGCCCGGAAATCATCTGTTTTCCGAATCGAAAAGCTCATGACTTCGAGGAAGGGGGCCAAGCTCGAATAAATTCGTCCTATGTGTCTAGAGTCTACATAGAGAGGGTTAGACGCGTCCTGACGCAACGGAAGACCGGACTAAACATACTGATGTAGGGGCATTCAATATAGGTGGTGGTGATAACTAATTCATGAGACCGCGATTATTCACAGAAACTCCGAGAGACCTGCGGGGCCCTATTGACCGATTGAATATCCCCAATACTGCCTCGAGCTCCGATACCCTTCTAGAGCGGAAACTCTCTCCCGGGCCTCGGAGCTGATCTCGAAGGTCAGGCGAACGTCTGGCTGCTATCGAGACTATCAGTCTTGCGTTGTCAAATGATTCAAGAAGCCTTTCTCCGAAGTGAGCTCATCATGAGACTGGTTCGCCCAGCCTTGTACTCGACAGCTCGCTTCCTCGCTGGTGGGTCGACTCGGTCGCTGGCGACCGACGCACAGTGCGCCGGTGTCGCGGCGGCCACTTCAAAACTGGGTGACCAAGTGTATGAGCTCATACGTTGCGTTCGGGAAAGTACCAGAGGGACGGCGGCGCCGGCAGAGAGAACAAGAAGTCTCGCTCAATTTCTTTATTTGAAGTGGGAGCTCGAGCAGGCACGCTAACAGCTGGAAACTTTGCCGCCTCACGATTTGCTCAAGTCAGAAAACTCCAACGCCCGCGCCGGCCGTCCTCTCAAAACACTCCGCTCCTCAGTTCGTATCCTGAACGAGCCGCCATCTGTCTGCCGTATGTTGTCCCCGCTGGACCGACACCCGACTGGTCCACCCAACAAAATAGCACGTAGCGTTGCAGTCTCAGAGGCCCCATCGACGGCACGCTCGGAGGGCGGCAGCGTAACGAGTGCACGTTAAACTTTTCGAGTAAGAAAGAGGCGTCGTACATTTTGCGTATTTCCCTCTCACTCGCCGGGGACAAAGGCAATTTCGCAAAAAGCCTTCTTAAAACAGCGTTCCAGTGCTCCAGTGAGAAGAAAATCTTTTATCGACGCCCGCTCGGATTCGGCCCCAGACGATGGAAGCAACGCCGGGAGATCCAGGACGCGAAGGAGAATAGCCGAAGAGACGGGAATGCATAATATCCATGTAGTATGCATAGAGCGTGCCATGAAGTACTTATTATCCTGATTTGACGGACACGCATGCGGAGCGAGCCGGAAGTCCTCTCCTGCATTGGATTATTCCTGGAGTTCCAAGTCGCGCTCTCAGCAAACACTGTCATTACGTTCCTTGACCCCGCGCGACGAATGGATGTTTGCGGAAAACATTGGACGGGTACGCGGCCCTTCTCGTCGAAGCTCCGTCATCTCGATGCGCGTCACCCGAGCGTGAATCTTCACACGATTGAAAGAACGAGAAAAATAACGCACGGTAGTTCGTTTCCTTCGTATTCGATATCAGATCCACGTTGGCCGTCCGCGAGCCGTTCACCTATCTTGTTGGAAAACAAGAAAATGCAGGGACGCTGGTCCGGACGGTGTCCGATGCACGTACTTTCCGCGTTGCAGGATTTCCGACAGCAGCAAATGGACTACGTGACTTTTTTCATGGGAACAGCGCGTGTAGCGGATTTTTCCACAAGCGAATGTCGTTCCCGTGTCTGTTGTCTACTCATGCCCTAATCTAATCTTTCGGAGTGTTTTACCCACCCAACAGGTTTCTGTCAAGGGGCCCCCCTCTCCGAGTACACCGCAAAAGTTCCAGCGCAGCGCGTCGATTCTTCTCGATATTCTGTGTAGGTTTGCTCTTTCCATCAATCCGACAAGGAAACGGCTTAGGGTCTCGGCACGGAATCGAATGAGCGTCAGAGGGCGAATCAGGTGGCAGACGAGGACGCCATGATGTCATTCGGTGAACGCACCAGTTGGACGAAGTGTCTGCCCGATTCCGATAAAAAGGCTTGAATGGGAACAGCGAGATTCACTCGCACGAGATAAGGACGCCGAGACCATCGCAGAAAGCACATGCTCGTTGTTTTGAATGCATCCCACAGCCTTGTTCTGCTATTGACTCAGCAACTTGCCATCTGGGTCAGTCAAGAGTCAAGACAGACCTCGTGCACCCAACGTTCATCTCGCATACTGATTCAGAGCCGACGAAGCCCCGTCTATAGCGACTGATAGGAGAACTCGATCGTCTACCGGGACCAGTTGAACGTTCAGACAATTTTACGAATTTTTTGCCACGACATAGTTCTCCCGAGGAATCCGAGCAGACCGGCGGTCGCAAATTCGACTCGAGTCGTTTCACTCCAAGAGGAAATCTTCCGCTTTCGAGGAGGTTTCACGGGAAACACAAGGACATTCCCGCCGTCGTCGAGGAGCCTTTAGGGTACAATGAACTTTCGAGAAGCTTTCCATTACGTCGCCTTGCTGACAGGTCACCTCGACACTTTGCACAGAATTACCGCGGCGGGAGGAGCCCTCAAGGGGCAGTCTCGAGGATCGGAACCTCTCACTCAGACGAACGTGTTTGCTGCAAGTTCCTATTCTGTGCCACTCTAGTGAGAGGCATCCGTCTCATTTCCGTGAAGCAAACTCTTCTGAGGGAGCGAGGCGTTGGCTGGCGGTAGAGGTTTTCTGCCGCCCGTACGCTATATGGACCTGGCATTTCGCTGACGTGTCATGACTGAACGGAAAAAATGCACTGTATGAAAACTTCGATGGGGGCGCTGTCTGAGGCGGGCGTTCGCACGTGTCCCTTTCAGAGGTGGGAAGCGTATACTGCGCGGGGTTCCGTTCAGGCAACTGGGGCGAGTTTCACACACCGCCCATTCATGATGACAAAATCGGTATACAGTTACGTGGAAATTGTTCTTCGCACCATTCCATCGACCGGCTCGACTCGGTTCGCGTGAGAGCTCTTTGCGGCAGAGAAAATTTCTGAAGCGCGCCGATGTTGCTCCAAGAACGAAAAAAACTAATGACACAACCGCGAGCAAAGCTGCGGCCGTCGTTCGGAGCGTTTAACCCCCCTCCCCTCCCCATCAAGCTGCGTGTTTATGAAGATGTCATGAGCAGCTCCTGTCGGGGAGGGTTTCCCCTTTACGTCAGAGCGAAGTAATCCGAACTAGGCTCCAACCAATTAAGGAATCAACCTTGCGAGACCTCTCGAGCGCCTCACACAGAGATTTACGCACAGAGATCCACGCGGAAGACGCCTTCGTCAGAAGTCAGAACAGCGTTCGGTCAGGCTTCTCCCGCAAGTCATTGTACCGCATGAATCATTCCCGGCATGTGTCTGTACGTCTGTCAAGGCTGGAGAACATGAGACCATGGCTCCCGAGAGCCCGGTGCTCCAAGTCTCATCTATCGTTGACTGATGAGGCATCGCTCACGAGGAGGGATCCGCGAAGCGAAAGTTCCCGTGTCGATCGAGGCCGAGGCCTGCGAATCTCACTGCAAGCAGGGTCTGAGCTCTCGAGCAGAACTGTGAAAACCCTCGAAGGGACGGCTGCCCACTCACCCAATCATCAATCCAGATTCGAGTCCTTACGGACTGAAGTCGCGAAATGAATTTTATCGACGTGGAATGTAAATACGCTGAGCCTGAAACGCTCTGAGCACTCGAGTGCCCACCGATAGCCCAATCGTCCCGCGGCACAGTTTGAGTCCGTCACGTGCAGAAAATTCATTTTCCGCATCATCGTGATGGATGTTTTCCGGACGAACGTATTTCCACCTCGTGTTTCGGACAGAGCCGCGGGTGATCAGCCGGAAAAAAACGCAGAGCTTGGGATCAACGCTGATTTTTTTCCACTGGACAAAGTTGTCCGGCAATGTGGGTGATTGTGTCGACTGCGGTGAATCATCCTAGCCTTGCAGTCTAAGCTGGCAAAGATGGGTCCGCTACCGAGTGAGTCGGCCGTTGTCTCCATGCCCGCTGGGTTGCTGGTACCGTGGTGCTGGTCGCTCGTCTGCCCAAGCGACCGCCACGCCGCGGCCTGCCGGCTGGAAACCAGACTCGAACGGCACTGGAAGACCTGTTGTAGCTCAGTCAGTCAGAGAGTCAACGACAGCGCCATCTTTCGCGCTACCAGAGCCTGGCGCTCGAGTGCTTTCTTCGGAGGGCCTAGCACTCAAACACACACTCTATTTTTGGTTTACCGTTGGCGGCCGCGTTCGCTTCTGACGAGATGGTTCGCTGTGGTTATCGGCAGGGGCTCCCTCGCTGATTCCACGGTGGTGTCCACCGTGTTTCCCTTGAATTTCCATTGTTGATCTTCGCTAGTTTCCAGCTTCGAGGAGTATCCGTGAATACTGCGATCTGTATCGTCGTGAGCGTCTAGGTGTGGCATAGCCTGCAGAGTCTGTGATCGAAGAGAGAAACGCCTACCCGGGTTCACCTTCGGGAATCGTGTCCCGCCCGGAAATTCCACCTCAGTAGAGCCCACCGTCTCGTCCAGTGGAAAATTCGTGACCCAGTCCCAATAAGTGAACCCGCCGTTGGAGCATCCATTCGTTTGTTCGTTCGCCCCGCTGATCCTGTGATAATTGTAACGTTTGTACCCGAACGGAGAAGTTGCCGATTCGTCACAATGTCCGGAGCGTGGCAGCAGCTGGAGCAGCTGCTCACGTGCGCCATCTGCATGGATCGATTCAAGAATCCCAAACTGCTTCCCTGTCAGCATACGTATTGCTGCGATCCGTGCATGGAAGGCCTGGTCGATTACGCTAGACGTCAAATCAAGTGTCCAGAATGCCGAACCGAACACCGCATTCCGTACAACGGGGTTCAGACGCTCCCTACAAACGTGACCCTTATGCGGTTCTTGGAGCTCCATCGCAGTATGACCGGTGAGTTCGTATATCTTTTCGTTGCCGGATCCGTTCCGGAGGCTTCATGTACCGGTTCAAGGTAGATGTTTATGAGTCGGTCGACAAGCCGCTGCCGTCGCCTTCTTGGCCGGCCGGGCGGCAGACTGACTGACCGACCGGCAAGTCGGCTTGCCGGCCGGCCCACCCTCCGTATGAGTATGGTGCGTTCCTTCGACTAGTCAACATTACGACATCGGACGTTGTAGAGTCAAGTGAATGCTTTCTGCGTCAGTGAGCTCAGGCGAGCGAGGCTTCGTCACGATTCTCGACCGCTCTTTCTGGGAGAACGAGTCGCAGGGAAAGGAACGAGCGAGCGAGCTAACTCCGTGTTACAGAGACAAACGAGTTGAATTGCAAAATTTTTCTAAGGGAAAATGCTGACAACCGGCTCCGAAGAAGTCGACTGAATAGAAAGATAGATTTGTGTTGAGCGTTCTCAGAAGCGGATTGACGAAGATGGTTGAGCGGAGAAACGAATACCATAGTGAAGAAGACAGCGAGAAGCGCTCCTCGACGCCGTCCTACAAAAACTTTGATCGATCTGTCGGTCGGGCGGGCCGTAGCCTCACGAACTTGTATCGAACCGCATTCGGGGAGTAGCTGGCGTTTTACTTTTGATGGCGCTGTCCCGCATCATGGGCCCTGGACTTGAGTACTCAAGACGACGACGGCTCGAATTTTCGCCGGTTGCGTCGGACGTTATGTACATATTATTCTTATGACCATAGCTCGCACAGCGCGAGATGTGTCCAATCTGGGAGCTCGACTGGATCCCTGATTTCGAGTCATAACTGACATCCACACGATGTCATGTTCGAACCTGTCGTGAACGATCCACATGGATGCACATGGGCATGTCAATTTTGGGAAAATTGCTCGCGGATTCCTATCAATTTGCGAAAAACTTCGTAATTCAAAGTCCCATCGAGGCAGCGCCGGCGTCATTGGCCTCTCACTCATCAGACTTGTCAGACCCACCAAGATGGTCTCGAGCCGAACGAATCGCATGAACTCGGTTCCTGGGACATCAAAATGCCTCAACGAAAGAGCTCGTCCGCGGAGAAGTTGAAACTTCTGGAATCGAGGCTGCTCTTGGAGTTTCTCGGCATGCAGATTGCTGAGCAATAAGTTTCGGAATCTGCGGCACGGGCCACGATCGAGGCTTTGGCCGGGATATCGAGGAAACCCGACCGACACGGTACGGCGCTGACGAGAGTTCCTCGAGAATTTCGCAGCTTTGCTAACGTGATCTTCGACACGTATCTCCAGGCAGATTATTCCAGGAAATCCTCATGCCTCGCTGTGTGGCGCTGTGTACTTGAGACTCCTTCCTCCATTGAATCTCAGATTCCTAAGAGGAAAAGGTCCCTCGTTTATTTTTGCTGAAGAGAGCAGTATGCTGTCCGGTGAAATAGATTACCCCTACACTAAAGACTCTGGGAGCCTGCGGTTTGAGGGTCGATCGTATTTCGTCGCCACGTTCGTATCTTCGCGTTAGGCATCTGGCCATGAATTCAAAAACTCGCAGGATGCCCCTGATGAGTGCGAGGTCGCTTGTTCGATATGGACTCTCTCCTTGATCGCTTAAGTGAACTTCTCCATTCTCGAGCATGTGAACGAAGTCCAAGCGCGTTGGGGATAGAGCTCTATCTCTTCCGTCTGGGAGCCAGGTCTCCGCCCTAAGGTGTACGCGCTCGAATGAGCTCGATCATGGGGCTCGCGAGGAACTAAATTCTATACGAAGGCCGGGTCAGACCTGAGAGGACACGTGGAGGGGTCCCAAGAAGTCGCGGTGGGGACCGAAAAATGCTGTGCGAACGAAGGCAGGTCGGAAGAAGCGGGAACTCCAGGACGCGACGGAGTCTAAGATGAGAATCGTTTCTCGTAATAGTCGGGGTCGTCGAAGCCAGGCTTCGTTGCGTTTGTGAATTCAGCTGTGAATTGGAGAATGAAGAGGGTTTCTTTTTTACATTCTCCAATTCTCGTCGCTCGACCGCCTTGCCGCCATTCCTGCCGCAGTCGCTCGGAAAAAAAGCACCGCGTGTTTAAAGTGGAATGGCCTTGAGCAGAGCCGCGTAGGTACCTTATTTGACTTGGAACTCCTGTATTGCCGGGTCGCATGACTTCTATTCACCTGAGATCCGACAAGGACGACGACTTTGCTACACAATCCCTCGAACAATGTAGCACGAAGGGTTTTGCGGGGCGGGATCTCCTCCCCCCCGCTCTCGAAGAAATGTCTGTGAAGCAGCAAAGACTGCGGCATACATCGGGCTGTCTTGAAAAGTGGGCACAAGTGCTCCGCGTACCCAGTCAGTTGAAAGTTGAAGGTCTCACCGTACACTGCGTCGTTGAGTCCGCTCGTTCGCCCGCTCGTTCGAATTTCCAAAGCTCTCCCAATCATGATCGAAATCCCGCCTGAAAATCGACTCTGCTTCCTAGGGCTCGAATCTGCCACACATCAACCCCGATCTCGACGCTGTCCGATTATGATCCAATCAACGAATCGTTGATAGCTCGAGGGCTTTGAGGCCAGAAGGGCTTGATAATTAATTGCGGATGAGTCTCAATCGAGATCGATATCGATTCTATAATATCTAGAGGTGCATCATCGTCTCGAAAGAAACTCGGGTGCATCCGCTCGCGGGCACGCTCAGTCTCGCTCCTGTCCTAGAGCGAGTCTCCGGATGACAAAGTCGGAGTTCGCCCCATCGTGGAAGCAGCGCAAGACACTGTCTGCTGAGCATCAGCTCATCTATCCATCAATCTATAAGTCTAGTCTTCCATTCGTTTCGCTGAGCATATCGGACAGCTGGGGGACCTGTCAGTTCGTTGGTCAGTCACCGATCATTATGGTCGTCATATAATAATCGCTGGGTGTCGAAGAAGCCTTCGTCAAGTCATATAGCTATGGTCAGTCTCGAGCCCTACTTGCCCTTATCCATCCTTCGTCCACTGGAGCCTAGAGTTGCTCTCCATCTTCCAGCCTTCGAAGCCTTACCTCCCACATGCCAATCTTTGGGGGCCCTGTACAAGGTGCCGAGAGAGGTCGGATATCGCGGATGGGCTTGATCGACGGACAGTTCGCTGAGCGGAGCCATATTTCACCATCACCGACTATCTGCATATAGGATCTGTCGTGCATCTCCATTGAGACGTCAACAGCTGAGGAACGCTCCGTATTGGAACAGGGGCTGCGATTCCGATGTTAATGAGGTCCGATGTAGCGGTAGAGACGGAAACTTCTGTCCGCGAGACTGAAATCCTCGATATCCGTCGGCTCGCCCCATTCACTGCCTATGCTATGCCCGATACGAGGCTCCAGCTACGAGCCTTCGATAGCTCCCAGACTAAGGAGTTCGAGCTGGAGACGAACGGATACTGGAAACAGAACTCGCCAACGATACCGCTCGTAGATTAAGGATGAGTTCGGTGTCGTCAAATCGAAAATCATCTCAGGACACGAGAAGTTGACCCTCGAAATGAATACTAGGAGGGAGCAACTGTTCTTCCCTCCGGAAAACTGCAGATGAGAAAATAAACGAGAATAATCGAATGAGAATTCCTGCAGCAATAAAATTAGAGGTTCCAAAAGCAAACGACCCGGGGAACATCCCGCTTCGAAACTCGACCGAGCGTACGTGAATCTCAAAAGACGAACGGGTCCAGAACCGTCCTGCGGAGTTGTCGCTGCAGAATTACTCGGAGTCAGAGAATGTTCGAGCTGCATCCGAGGGAAGAAAAAATGAGCTGCTCTCTACGCCGGTGCCGTTGTTTGTTTGTTTGTTTCCGTGCGTGCGTACGTTTGAATGTTTGTGCATAGCTCCGAGCGTCTCGTCGACTCGAGACAGATTTATGAGTAGGCCATCAAGGATCACGATTCCCCCGCTGTCTGATTGCATAAGAGAGCAGTGATACGCTCCCGAATCCGATGCGAACTCGACTCGACTTACTCATCATCTGCTCCGTAATAACTCTCGAATGCTTCTCCCCGAATTCCGAATTGAGTGGGGAGAAGGAATGAGGCCTCGGGTGCGTTCATCACGTCATGCGCGTTTTGCGAGCTGACGGACATCTCAGGAGCAAGGAGAGACGAAAACATCCAATTCGTAGGATCAAGTCTCGGAATCTGGAAGAACGGCTGCGGTTGCGGGACGTCTCCTCTTCCAGCGCGGAGACTAGGCTCCTTGCTGGCTCGACGACTAGAGTTGTGATATGAGAGGACATTTCATTCTCGAGAAAAAACCATGTTCGCATGGATATCCGGACAGAGAGCGAACGTCGAAAGCGGACACTTCAATCCTTGTTTTTGACCTTTTCCATGGAATTAATTTAAGTCTCCAACTATTGCCCCGATGAGCGTCTCTCGGGTTTACTTCAATATTCATGTATACGATCGTACAGAATCGATTCGGTGAGGAAGAAGTTTCCGATCAAGCCCCGGCTCGTGCTCGTGCCGTCGAAACCTCGGCGTAAAAACGGAGATATGGCGCGGAAATTCAATTCTCAATCGAAATTAGCGCCAAAAACTGACAAAATTCCACTTCGAAAATTCCGAGAAGCGGACGTTTTCGAGGAGCGGAGGGAGCGGGCAAAGGGGAGAAAGGACGTGTCCTCGTATATCGCATCTCGATCGATGACTCCAGTTTATATCGGGCTCGACCTCGGAGCTGACGCCGATTTCCGCCGGATGGAAGTCAAGCGAAACCATGAGGGATCGTAACTTTTCCGCCACTCTGTATCGCAGGTGAAGAACCCGAGCCCGAAGAAGCCATGATGGGCAGATGTTCCGTTTGTTCCGAGAAACAACACCTCATCAGCTGCCATCACTGCAACAAGAAAATTTGCGCCGATTGCAAGGAGGCGCACCTCGACGTCATGCGCCGAGAAATATCTCGGATCTGCTCCAACGTGAGTATCGATCTTCCTTCGGAGTCGTTCCACCTTCGGCGATATCGCGGGAGCTCATCTTCCCGAGTTCATCCTTATTCAATTACCGGGAAGATGGAAATGCTTCCATAAGCGTAATACGCTTCCCAATGTAGAGCCTTTGATGTGGAAACGTATTGTAATTCTCTCCCGGCAGCCGCTTCCTTTCGAGGCAGAACACCTCCCGTCGGCAAATCCGCGGGAACTTTTGATCCGACAGAAATTTTCCTCTTGTAATTTTCCCCCGTTTCCCGAAGTGGGGCCTAGCTTCTAAATTATGACCGTCAATCTGTCAGCCGGTAGCTTTTCAAGTTTTTCTCCTTCCCTTTTCCCCCGTCTCCCACGGCTTCGCTTTACGCGCTCTGTTCCCTCCGGTGAAGCCGCTCCAGATCCGAGAAATATAAATGTCCGACAGTTTTTCAAGCGGCTCCCGGTTCCTGAAAGTTTTGTCAGATCCTACTTTTCGCGCTCTCGAATAGAGAATGGCATGGGGTGCGGCGCTCGGGGGAGCTCGAGAGAATCTGCGCTTATTAACACGAGTGGTTTTCTGCGCTCGGCTATCGGAGATCTCGGAGCTCGTGTCGAATTCTTCGACCCATCCAGCGTTGAAACAATTCTTCCCCGAGCTACTCCGTTTGTACTCTACGATATACAGCTCGCAGCTCGGGTTTCTCCTTCCTGCGAGATGCAAAAACGAGAAGAAGGGAGAGATATAGCGAGAGGAGAAATGGAAAAAAAGGAAGCGAGAGTGAAATGAGACTTGCGCGCCCCAAGACGCGTGTTATGCATGTAGATTAACAAGCTATTAGAACTCCGACACGATCGACTTCCGAGGCGGAACGAGTTGAGTCTGTTGCTTCGTGCACACACATACGTACGTACGAACGTCAGCAGAGCCTGCACATGTCGTTACTTCTAATTAAGTTCAGGAAGCGTGGCCTTCAGGTCCTCCTGTATAAACAACATCAGCTAAAAGCTGCGACTAGCGAGCGCGCAGAGCGAGAATATTCAATGATTGGTGCATCATTCGATATTCAGCCACGGTCATAGTAGAGATGAGCGAGTCAGACTCGAAATGGCTCCTAGTCGTTTATTGATGAGCTAACTGCGATTTCCATCCTTCATTTTCTCCCAGCCGGAGGTCTTCTCCTGAGGATTTCCGCTACGTGATCCATCGGCCAGAACTTGAATTTTCGTAGCCCCAGCTTTGCAAAGTATTCCTGGGAACATTGAGCCCCGACCAGACGGCATCCCCGATAAAATTCGGTGGCCCGGTTCCGTTCCGGGCTGAGTCTGAACATTCAGTAGAAAACGCGTCAAATACGCAAATCTGAAGGAGGCGCTCGCCGCGCCACCGCATCCCGACCTGGATTCCAGATGCGGGCTCGCAGTTCCCCTCGGGGCTGTCTGTTCCACGTTCACTATTCCTCTGCGCAAGGTCTGTCTACGAGACCGAACCTTCCCGAAGCATCTCGGATCCATGCAAACCCCCGCCGCGTAAACTAGACGCTGGCAAACACTGTTCGAACACTTTGAGGTCAAGCAGAACCCCGAGGGCATTCGAACGTTTGTTTCTCCTAATGAATTCCGGGAGCGAGCGGTCCGCTCACCTCGCTCGGCCGTCTGTCGAGCCAAACTGACCTCGGAACGCCGAGCTGACTATTCACTCGAGCACAGGGCAGAAAACCGAGTGAAACTCTAGCGTGTGCTCAATCCCGCATTGGGAGCCCTCGAGACTCGCTTCGAGTAGCAGTGGCGTCAAGTAGCTGCTACGCATGCCGGAAATGTTCCCATGCCATCTTTTAATTTGCGGTCCCCTCCTCTCTCACTTATATGTGAGTGCAATACGATCCGCCGGAGCGTGTGCTTCCCGCAGCCGATGAGGAAAGGTCCCGCTTGTAGTAGTGGTGGTAGTGGTAGGAGTAGTCGCCGCCGACGTCGCCGTCGCCGCCGCCGTGATGGTATGCGTGCAGAAATTCCAGCACCACGAGCGAACGAACGAAGGAAAGAATTCGGAAATTCAACGCCCCAACTTGAGGCCAATGAAAACTTTGCGGCATGCGGCAAGACAGCGACTTTCTCTGCTCTTGCTGGGCATACAGTGAGGGAATACGAGACGTGCGAGGGGGGACTATCACACGAGCAGACAACCGGAGGAATAAGCTCCGGCTCAGTGAAGGAAAAGACCCGAACCGACTGTTGCCACGCATCGTGATTGGGCATATCAATTTGGTGAACTGCCGTTGTTCCTCGGGCGATATTAACGCTCCGGCTTAGGTGGTCGCCGAGTCGAGGCTCTGTGGGCACGTCGTCGGTGGCTCTCTAAGCCGTGACCAGTTCCCACAGTCCTGGGACAATCTGTGCCACTCGCGGATATTGGCTGAAAAACAAGTCAAGCCGAAATGGAGCAGCCGCTCCGACTCTCGACCAGCCATCGGTCAGAGCACAGTCGGTCGGGGAGCAATCTGCGACCACGAAGGGACAATAATAATAATTAGACTCGATTACCTATCTTCCAGGTGCGGCGATCTGTCAGCCGACTCGAGGATACGCTGAAGGAGACCAAGAAGAACGAGGAGAAACTCATCACCAATTGCGTCAACGTTCAAGAGGAAATCTCCGATATCATCAACCGGAGCGTCAAAGGTATCAGATACTTGATCGGGGTCCACGCTCGATTCCCGAATTTCCGGCGAGGGATATTCCGCTCGGCTCTCGACCGCATCCCAGACGGTTGGAGTTCCTGAGCCTCTTATCTTGTTTCGTGTTCGTGCACCTCTCCCGATGGTGCTCGCAGGCACAGCCGGGCTCCTTCGATCGGAAATCTTATTGTTCAATCCTCCACTTTCTCCCGGCAAGAACCCATGATAGCGGAGGGCTGATTGTGATTTGATTGATGCCATGCGGTATCGATCGAACGGTCCTTCACTTAAGGTCCGCGGCGCCGTATCGAAAACAATAGGAGCTCCGAGAATGTCAGCGCTGGAAATTCTGACGGTTATCGAAGTTTCCTGCATTGGCGCACGCTCGACAAAGTATTCGAGTAATATATCTGAATTTCGATCCGAGAGCAGGGCATCGGCATACCGATGTCCAGAATGGATGAGTAATGATACTGGGAGTCTTTGTCTCATTCCGTGTCCTATCGCAAAGGTACCGAGTCCATGCAGGTCTAGATCGTAATGGAATCTTGTTCGGAGAAGGCCTCGGAAGCAGCGAGGATCCGCTCGTGTCGGTGCTCTGGGAGCGGAGGGATGGCCAGCTGATGGGCAGAAGAGGGGAAGAGGGAGTCGGGAACTGCAAGAAAAAAAATGAGAACCGCTGTGTCAGAGAATAAGACTTGCAAATGTTCCGAAGTTTGGCTCCTGCGGCAAGTGATCTACTGGACGGCTGTTCCACTTTCTTCCTGTTCGTCCGCTCTCTATCTCTCTCCCGTCAGATCGGATACCGTGGAAGCTCGCGTACGTTCGCTTCCTATGCGATACGCCAGCAGCAGTTGGCCTATACTATGCCGCTTCTGATTAAACGTGACATTGCCAACGTGAACATCCGGCTGATGAAGGTTTCTATTAGTCAAGGGTAGGCGGCTTTGATCTCGATCCACGAGAAGCTTCGCTCTGAATAATGGACGAAACATCCACAGATACCTCGGTATTCGAGAGTATCGAATACCTCTGTGATACGCGGCTGGGAATGTTCTACAGGGAATTCAGCGCCCACCATTCCATGTCGGCGATATCGTATGAAGTGGAAAATTGGGAACCTTGAGTTATTGTTATGACGACGCGTAATTCCGGGAAAAGCCGAAGATGTTCCCAATTCTGTCTCTCTTCACTCGAAATCCTTTTTCATCTCATCAGTGGTTTTCCCGTTCCAGATTTGGAAAAACTCAAGGAGCGACTCGAAGGCGAAGTTAAAGGATACGAAGAAGTCGAGAGCGGTACCTTGTTGAAGCTCTCCGACAATCTCGATCAGGAAGTCACGACAATCAACGCGAATTGCGACGTTGTAGAGAAGTACATCGACGAAGACCACGACTGGACCGACGTTGAATTGGTGTGTATTGCTGATGCCCCTCGTATCTTATCATATCGTTAATTTTTATTTTGCCGATCGGCGAGAGCGTATCCGGCGAAATCCAAAACGAAAAGGATGTTCGTGGACCGATCGACCTCGCTGCTTAAGAAGGCTCTCCACAAGCTCTCCACTTGGAAGAAAGAAGCAATGAGTCGTTTGTTCATTAGAGACAATAGGACGTCATTCCTTCATGGAGGCATGGGACCTTCTCTCTGGACTTACGATGGGGGCGTTTGAGCGACCGACCGACCCGCAACACGGGAGGCGAGTGCTGTAATTTCGCCACGGGCTACGCTTTGTTTGTACTGGAGCCAAATTGAACTGCAATCGAATTTAATTTTGAATGACTGGGAAAAATCTCAATGTGGGTCGTTCCGCTCAGTCGCGATTCGGTCTTTCGATTCGGTCCCCCCGGTGCCGACTGCTCCTCCGCCGGCGAACGGAGCGAGCGCCGTCACTGACTCCAACGGGGAAATTGCAAATGAGCCCAGAATCAACGGAGCCCAAATTCCAAGACTACCCGACTCTCGAAGCGGCTGTTCACAACGGAGTGGGAAACCCTTCATTTCACCGCTCGCTTTGTCTCCACTCGTTGACTAGTGAGACGGAGCGTTGTGAACGGTGGCGGGGACGCCCGCCCGTCCGTCCGCTCGTCCGGCTCCGCTTTGAGCTCGCGAACGAGTCCATGGGAGTTAGAATGAAAAAAATGGTAAAGATTCCCTCTCCGACGCAGGTAGAGTACAAGGAAATCTTCGTGAAAACTCTCGAGTTCCTCCGCAATTTCGATGCCGATACCACGGACTATGGACGGAGAGTACGTCTGAATATTCTGACCGACACGGAACAGGTTCGTAGGCTCTGATGATCGAGGAGTGGAAATGAACGATCGGAAGGGGATCCGAGAGGCTCATGACCTAGTTGTACGAATGGTGAAATTCTGATAATGGTTTCCAGGTGCATAAGATGTTGGCTGGTTTCCTAGAACTCAAAATCCAAGCTTCCACGAGCGTCAACCAGAGTCTTGCTCCGGCGGGCCAGACCCTTCCCAATGCTCTGATGAGATCTCAATCCGACCACCGTTTGGCGAGTCAATTCAAGAAAGTAGATTCGCGTTCTATGCTCGACATTTCCCAGGTGAGGCCGATGATATTAGGTACCTGCATAAGTTTTTAGCCCTCTCTGTCGATCCGCGATATCTCGGCTCCTGGAGGCCGTAGAAACTTCCCGATACATGCGTTTTGCGCGCAAAGAGGCCAGCTTTCACACAGACTGGTCAAAATTGTGATTGGACGAGCTGTTCTCGCGGAATCGCCGAAATACTGAAATTCACGAAATCGGCAAAATTGACTTCCTGAAGTAAATTTTTCAGAAAGTCCGAAATCCCCCGAATTAACATGCCCATTCGAAAGCTCGGCGAAAATGCAGTCGATTCATTTTTTCACGAAGGATTTTCGCCCATTGGAAGATCTCGCAATCGAGATCCGAAGGTTGAGATCGAATCATAGCGTCTCGCCGCTCCCGGCTTTCCCTGGTCGCATGACGACATGCGCATCGTTCTCCTCGTGGAAAACGCAGAAAATATAGACCCCAAGATCGATTTTTCTCCGCTCGATTCCATCTCTAATTCCGTCTGGAAGTCCCCACTTCGTTCACGGCGTCTAACGTCAGCAGCGACCGAGGAGCGATGGGAACGCTACCCAGCGTGCCACTGGAAGCGTCACTCCGAACAGGGAAAAAGGAAGAAATCAAAAAAGGAGCCAGTCCGAAGAGTCTCGAGCTTTTGAATTCTTCGCGCGTAGGCGGTCTCTCTCTTTTTGAGAGAGGGCGGTCGGGATTCGGCTCGGTGGACGCGCTGAGAGCTATGATTCGCTATGAGACGCTATGATTCGATCTCAACCTTCGGATCTCGATTGCGAGATCTTCCAATGGGCGAAAATCCTTCGTAAAAAAATGAATCGACTGCATTTTCGCCGAGCTTTCGAATGGGCATGTTAATTCGGGGGATTTCGGACTTTTTGAAAAATTTACTTCAGGAAGTCAATTTTGCCGATTTCGTGAATTTCAGTATTTTGGCGATTCCGCGAGAACAGCTCGTCCAACCACAATTTTGACCAGTCTGTGTGAAAGCTGGCCTCTTTGCGCGCAAAACGCATGTATTGGGAAGTTTCTACGGCCTCCAGGCGCCGAGATATCGCGGATCGACAGAGAGGGCTAAAAACTTATGCAGGTACCTAATAATAAGGCGTCTTGTTTTTCTTATCGACTGCTTGTTGTTCTAAATAATTCCTCCATCTGATCCAATGAGGTAAATTGTTTGATGAATTCATCAACGCACAGACTGCGTCAATGTCTCGGAAATGAACAGGGGGACTCCCGTCTGAATGGGCCCAGTATCTCCCAAGGGAAGGAAGGTTTATCCCGAGCGCTCGTCGAGATTACCACACTGCCCGCAACCTCTCAAGTCCTCCGAGCCGCCCAGAAACGCAAAAGGCTCCCTCGTTTCCTCCGCAGTTGGCTTTTTTTGAGTTCCGTTCGGTAACAGGAGTTCTATGTTTGATCCGAATCGGGACTCTCCTTATTCATGCCCCTCATCGGGACTCCGCTCCCCGACTCTTGGCCGTTAGATTCGAGATTGATGGACGACAGACGCTCGGTAGAACCTCATGACTCCGTGGACTTTTCCCGTTCCGAATGTGCTCGAGCAGAGAACCCTTCCTTGGAGCGACTCAGACGAAAATTCCCGGACGAGGCGCAGTCAATATCGCATGGACTTTTTGCAATTGCAGCGTGACGGCGCCAGTGATGAGGAACGCGGACAGGGCAAAAGCGACATTCTGAGAAGATACGGACTCCTCGGTGACGAGGACAGTCACGGCGGTTCCCGACATGGCTACAAATCGAAATACGTCCGAGACCTCCTACAGGAGCAAGACAGTCTGATGAGACCGTCTCTCAACACAGCGAGGTTTGTCCTCTTATCTGGAGAAGAGAGGTCGTTGACGCAATCTGCGCAAGTGCTCAGATTGGAACAGGAACTCACTCAATAACGAGAACGGCAATACTTTTGCATTATTTCCTTCCGACGCATTTTCTCGCGGCCGGCTCTGCGTAACACTTCCTCGCGTTGCAGTCGGATCGACGACGAGAAGACCAAGGAGCCTGAACCTCTCCCCAAAGTGTTTGACGTCGATGGAGCTGTTCGGGCTCCACTCAGCGGCATCGTCAAGATCGACGACTCGGGAAAATTCATGGAGCGAGTGTTCGAGAGTGAAAAGAAGGCGAAAACTAAAAAAGTCGAGAAGGAAAATCTCCGCAAAATGCAGGAACAGCAACAACAGCTTACGCAAATGGCCCAGCAGGTGAGCGACGATTCCATGCGATATGCCATCCGTCGTCGTGATCCTGGTTCTTGTTCAATGATGAGTGAGGGAACGGTGGGGCTCTTTGGACGACGCGACGGTGTCAGAGGGTGGGGAGGGGGGCGGGCTGGCTGGTCGGCTGGCTGGAGGGGTGGACGGGGAGGTGGGCAAAGCTCATCAATCTAATTGTTGCACAGCCTGAGCTGAATAATAAGTTCGGGATTCAAATCAGCCTGGAGGCAGGAAGGCTTTTAGTGGTTTGCAAGTATCACGACGCCGAAAGTAGATTAGAAGCTCCACGCGAGACGTGAGTGGGCGCGCACAGGCCGCCGCTATTGCATCGTCTTTCCCTCTGTTGGTCTTTTTTCTCCTCCGGCCACTGCAACGTATGTTACGTACGTACACACAAGTACGGGAGGTCTACGAGTGTTGCTCGGTCGGATCGGCTGTTTTCTTGCGAGAAAGTTGGCCTCATTAACCCTATAGCACTATAAACTGCTCGTAAGGAAGAAAGCACCGGTTCTCTTGGCTCCGGTAGACTTTTCCGAGGCAGTTGTTGTTGTTGTTCGTTGCTTTATTTGCCCTCTCGCCGTCGTTCTCGCCCGCTCACGTACTCACGCACGTATAAACGAATGCGTACATTCAGCTCTGGGCCGGTGCGAAGATGGTATTGACAAGGTCGCGCTGGATCTCAGCCGATGTCGGAGAAATCGAGCACCGATAACCCTGTCGCGGCCGCGGAACCTGTTCCGTCGTATTCCTTGCTTCATTCAAATACGATATCCCTGATTCAGCTGAGAATGATGAATAATCCAATCTCGTTCAGGCGACACAAGCCACTCGAACCTGTGCTCCGGTGGCGGTGCGTTCCCCGCGATTCGAGGTCGCTGGCTCGCGGTAAACGACCGAAACTCGAGGCTGCATCCATCCCGAGCTCTTTGAGAGCAGCACAGACCCGAAAGATCAGGGTAGCAGCTGTGTGACGGCGACAATCAGACGTTTTCGATGCAGTCTGTGTTCGCGAGTCCTTTCTGTGTGGTCGTCGTCGACGTCATCGTCGACGTCGTCTTCGGTCCAACGGACTCCAGTACGTCGACTCGTTTGCACGTTTGCTCGTTCTGGCGCTTCCGCTGAGCAGGTTTGAACGTCTTCGTCTTGGTTCTACAAACACAAATCAGAAATACCGTGATCGTATTACGCTTCGAACTTCCGAGCCGAACGCACGTCCTTATTGAGGGGGAACATTTTCTCATCGAGCTCCACTCATCGACTGCATATTTTCCTCGAGACCCCGTCAAGCATGGCGTCGTCAACTTTTCTCGAACGGAGCGATTTCCGGCGGCAAGGCGCGTCCGGAACGTCTCAGCCGAGAGATCGAAAGTAACATCCGCTTCTTTCACAGAGAATGCAGCAACAGATGGCGGCGATGAGAGCTTCACAGCAACAACAAAATCAACAACAAAACGAAACGGATCCCAGCCCGGCGACGACGACATCCTCTACGACGGGATCGCCAGCGACGGCAGGGAGGAATTCCTCCGCATTTTCATCGCAGCTTTCGGAAGCCACCGACAGAGCACAACAGGACAGGAGTGAACCTGTTGCGTCCACGGTACGAGTCGTCGTAGTTGACAGCACACTTGTCGTAAATAACTGCGTATCCTAAAACCCGGACAGCGGACCCTCCTTTCGGCTGTTTAGGCGACTTTATCACCCAGCCGAGCGAGCATCTTACCTCACCCACCCGTCCGCTCCCTCTTGGTCTGTGGGTCCTCGTTTTTTTCCACCTCTCTCTCTCCGCTCACTATCCGGCGCCGTCCCCCGCGCTCGCTCGTTCCGAGCCTGTCTATTCTCGGTGACGGCAACGATAGGCGACATCACCTCCTCATATGTCCCCTCCCCCCCTCCCTACCTCGATCGTATGCCACTTGTTCCGTTGTGCGCCCTGTTACCTCACATCCAACTTGTTTCCCCGCATCTGCAATGTCTACGACGTCGGCGTTCGCCGAAGGCGGAAGGTGACTCCCTTCCACTTTTCCCAAAAACGAGCTCGGAACTGCGTCTTCCTGCTGTCAAGCGAACGGCCGCCTGAAACTCGCCAACAGGTTCACCGAGCCGGCTTCCTGTGCGCGTATATTATTGCTGCTGCTTCTGCTGTCGTCGACGTCGCTGGTGTAGCTCATACCGTTGCTGTTGATGTTTACGGCAGCTGCCGTCATCCGGCACGGTGGCGACGCAGTCCGTAACCGACACTTGAAAGCATGAAGTTTCACAATGAAAAGCGTGTTTCTGTGGAAGTGCCTCTGTAGGCCCAGATGGATAGACATAAGGACAGATAAACACTTATATGAGAGTATATACGAGGCAGACGGCAAGTCTATACACAGATGAGTTCCCCATCCAGAGAACGACAACTGCAGCCAGGCCGGCTGGCGGGCGGGCTGGCTGGTTGGCAGCGGGGGAAGGGGGAGAAGCGAGAATATCGGATGACGGATCTGGCCCGCTTGCCAAAATAGAGCTCATGATCGCTCGTTTTTCCAGACGACTCACTCCGGCCAGGCAGCTGCAACCACTACGACCACCGCATACGACGAGCCGAGATACTCCTCGTCGACGACGACGACGACAGCTGCACCCCGAACCACATCGCTCGATGACGACCGTGGAAGCGATTCCGGCTCAGTGCGTTCCAGAAGACCTTATCTCGAAGAAAGCAGGACTTCGTCACGTGATTCGCCTTCCACAAGGTAAGTCCGCGCGGGATCGCATTGGTTTTCGGGGTGGAACAAACGGGAAACGATTGGGATCTGCCGAGATCCCACGGGATTCCCGGCTCTCAACAGCTCGTGGGCTCGAGCCTCGAGCTCAATTGACGGATCGCCGAGCGCTCAGAACGCTTCGCGCAGCCTACGCGCATCGACCTTTGCAGTAGACGTTGTCTCTCGTGGAAAACCGCAGTCCAGTTTCCGGCAGCCGGTTACTTTCTGGAGAAGCCTCAGAGCACCCGAAACGCTTCTCTCGGTTCCCATAATTTCTTGCCCGGCTCAAATTCCTCGGGCCATGGCCGACTCGAGTTCGATGCCATGCCCCCGAGTGCGAGGTGTGCCAGCGCAAGCAGATGGGGCCGAGAGAAAACAGGTTGCTACCTACACGTTGATCGAAAGTGATTATTTTCATCAATAGTCGGGAGAAATATTCCCTCCGGAAATTCGGATAGGAATTCCATTTCATTCGCAAGGAAATTCATTTCATTATCTCCAAGGAAATTCGAATGAGCAATATGTCGTGTTCTAGCTGCTTCCTTGGAAAACCGCTTTCGTCTCTACTGTAGTTCTCTCATCGTGAGCGCGAGACCTCTGTTCGGTTGAGAATCATAAATTCTTCCTAGGCGTGCAGGGAGCTTTAGATTTATTGACAATTCAGGCATTCAATTGAACACGTGGTATTTCCAGGGGAGTCACCCGAGATTTCTCAAGTGATAAATCAAACGAAGACCGAGGGAGTTCATACCGGTCGGGCTCTACAAACGACTACTCCTCAAGGGTAGGAGCTTCTTCGACGTCCCGGAGACAGAGCTACGGAAGTCGGCAGTCATCCAGGGTAGGGGAAGTTTTATGAGTTCGGAAAGAATAGAGAGCTTTGCCCGGCGAACGAATCTCGCTCTCCCGCCGTCGACGTCCGAATTCCCGACAGGATAATCAAGACCTTTGCACTGGCGTTCGAGTTCAGAGAACGCCGTAGCTTGGACGAGAGCGGCGATTTGTTAATAAATTTTAAACCATGTGGGTCATTAAGCTCTATAAAGTACGTCCCGCCGACGCCACCGCTCGCTGCTGCGACCGGCGGTGCTGGATTGGAAGATGTATTATACAATCTTGGACGCTTCTCAGGCCCAGGAAAGTGACAGCGATAGTGAAAGTGAGGAGAGTGAACGGCAGCCTGCCTCTCGGAGATTTGATGAGACTTCGGCCGTGAGCGCTCTCTTGAACCGAAGCCAAGAGGCGCGGAAGAGCATATCGACTGCCAACGAGAACGCGTCGAGAGAACGTCGAAATCGTAAGATCTGTTTGCTTTTTTATGCTCTCGCGTCTCTTCTTTGCTTTCCATGCGGACAGAATGATCTTCGCCAGTGGCGAACTCGATGGGAGTCGGGAAGAATTTCAGATTGCAGCGGAGGCGTCAGGGGGGGGGTATGGGCTCCATGTTGAAGTTTTCGGGTAAAAATCAAAGCCCGGTGCTCTGGTGGAAAACCACCTCCATAGAGCGAGCCAAGCGTTCCGGGCCCGATCTAGAAGTCGAGTACCGCTCGACCAATATCCCCTCAAATGCTTCGAACGAGAACCTTTCACCAAACGAATCGCTGGCGAAGAAAAATATCGGGGTTTGCCGCCCCTGGATACACGAGCTCGGCACTACTTCTCATAATGCTCCGACCCAACGCTTCGGTACCTTGAAATGCGTTTCCTCTCGAAATTCTTTCGCTGGACCCGGCTCTGGGGTTTGAATCTTACGCACTAACGCTTTCCGAATAGCTCGCTCAACTACTGCTTTCTTGTGTGCAGCGTACTTATACAGCTCGAGCGAGAGGCCTTCTTCATATCAACGTGAATCCACCGGCTCAACGTATTCAAGCTCACGCTGGCAGTCCGCCGGCGATGGCGTCTCGCCGTCCGACGACTATTCACGAAGGCGTTCGACTGCCGACATTTCAGAAGAACGATCGCGGGGCTCGCTGTTGAGATCGAAAAGTTCGGCCCTGGTTCAAGACGACGACGAAGACCCCCCGCGTACATACGGCTCGCGATCGGTGAGTGGACGACAGAAATGCCGCCCGCTTGACTTCTGACCCACTGATTGAATGATTGACAGAGTTCGGCCGGGCTGAACCGCTGCGGGGGAGGAACGAGCACGCGACGGAGGAGCCTGTCTGCGTGCGAGCATGCGTGCTTGCGTGCCCGTCTGCGGTCGTGCGTAATGCCTGCCTGACTGAGTGGAGTCCTGGATGTTATTACGGAATAACAATTGCGGCCTTCTCCCCATTCAAATGCACCCCCGGCCAGCCGGCCGGCTGACCTACCATCAGAGCCAGCGGGCGAACAGGAGGACGAACGAAAAGCAGACGAAAGGATGAAATCGCCGCCCGGCCCCGGGATGAACTCGCAAGCGGATTTCGATGGGGAGAACTTTTGGTTTCAGCACGGACTCGATGTCAAGCATGTGTTCAAGTGGGAGCGCCACAGACGAGGTGTCGGAGCTCTGTGGGCAATAGTCGTCTTTTGATTTAATGTAACTGTATCTATTTCTCCT